ATCAGAGAGGTATGTGCAGGGCCTGGGGCTGTGCAGGGTGCATGGCAGGGGTTGGCCCGAGCAGATAGGTATGTGCAGGGCCTGGGGCTGTGCTGGGTGTGTGGCAGGGGTTGGCACACAGCGTGGCACTTAGGAACCTCCTTCTCATGTGTGTAGCAGCTTTTCTGGGGTAATAAGTAGAAGAGCTGGAAACAGGAAGGGGAAGTTGAAAGTTCAGTCCTTTCTCTCGCACGCAAAATAAAGTACTGCTTTCCTGTTTCTCTCCCTTGTGCCTGGAGCGGGTCTGTACCGCTCGGTGCAGGCCCACAGGAGCCAGAGCCGCAGGGAGGGGATAGCGCTGCAGCAGGACCCAGGGGCACTCTATGACTTCAACCTGGATGAGGAGCTGGAGATTGACCTCGATGATGAAGCAATGGAAGCTATGTTTGGGCAAGACCTGGCTAGTGATAATGATATTCTGGGAATGTGGATCCCAGAGGTATTGGACTGGCCTACCTGGGTGTGTGTGACTGCAGCGGGGGCTGCTCCACCTTACTGCCTTTGCATGCTCGTGCTTTCCTGGGGACAGTAACTCTACCTAGAGCCTGTTTGAAAACTCAATGCCAGCAGTGCTTAGGGTCTGCTTAGGGTCTGTAGCTTCCTTCCCAGGTTGAGAACAGTGCTTCCATGTGTTTCTTGCTCTGCACTTCCACGTGTATCTAGCTTTCCTTCTCCCCCCTGAAAGATGGGAACAGAATTACATAGTGGTTGTTCTCGTGATAGCAGTCAGAAGTAAGCAGGTGCTCCAGATGGCTGAGCTGGGTGAGATAACAGGCATGGGTGTAAATGCTTGTTCTGCTACTAATAGTACCTGCTTGGTAGCAACATAATCTGCACTTAAATCAGTTTTTCTTAGTTTAGGTATTCATGATTTCTGTTCTCTGGTAGGGATGTGGTGACAGTCCTCACCGAGTTGTTGCACAGAGCACTAAATAACACTTGAGGTGGAAAAGAAATATAATGACAGCAGCTTGTTAATCTTTGGATTGTCCAGGTCCAGTCAGACAATCAGCCCCTGAGACTAGGCCTTTGTCTCCTGGTCGTGATGTTACTCGATTTGATGTGGGAACAACTTCCAGTGTGCACATTGCAATTTTCCATGCACTTGTTTCACTGAAACATCTCCATGAAATTACTGACTTAGGACTGAAATGTTAATTATAGGTAAAACCTTGAAATCTGGTGACACAAATGGTGATTATTGTTGCTCAGTAAATGTAAAGTTTGATTATTGGGAACAGAGAAGGATTCTTTTTCATTGTTAGATCTCTTTTCAGACAAGTTCTGAGGAGAACCAGATGAAGACACTGTTGAATGTGAACAGGGTTATATGCAAAGAGTTTTACTGTCGAGAATTTTGAGTCAATCTGAAATTAAATAGGAAATCTCATCCTCTTAAACTTTCCTTCCAATTGTTTTTCCTGTTTTGAGATGGTCTGCTCTTCACTATGTCAGAAAATGGTTTTCCATTGCTTTTGTGCAAGTAAACCATACAGATACCACTGTGTGTGTAGCAGAAATGTGCAGGAACATCCACGTAGGAATATTGCTGTTTTATGTCGAACAGGAAGATATTTATTCATGCAAATAACATGTGTAAATGTTCCTGTGCAGCATGTTTGTGAGTCTGAAGACAGAGAAGAAGTAGTGGTTTGTGAACTGTGTGAGTCCAGTGTTGTCAGCTTCAACCAGCACATGAAGAGGAACCACCCTGGCTGTGGCCGCAGCGCCAATCGCCAGGGCTACCGCAGCAACGGCTCCTACGTGGACGGCTGGTTCGGGGGCGAGTGTGGCAGTGGAAATCCCTACTACCTCTTGTGTGGCATCTGCAGAGAGAAATACTTAGCCCTGAAGAGCAAATCTAAAACATCGACTTCTGAAAGGTACACAGATAGAGGATACTGGAATACTCTGTGCAAAGAAAGGATAAAAACAGGTTCAGTAGCATCAGCATTTTAAGAATTTGATTTCAGAGCTCAGAGTTCCTAGCAGAATTTTCTGGGACTTAACAGGCATTGTCTGTTCGACGAATGTGCATTTGGAAGTAAGATTGGCCTTGGTATTTCTAGTTCTTAAATGAAAAGCAAGGAATAATTTCTTGGGATGTTGCCTGATACTTACTGACTTTCTAAAACGTTTTACTGATTTTTGTCTGACAATTCCAGTGAGTTTCTCAGCCCTTTCTGACGTTAGGACTGCAAAATGCTTCCCTCCTCCACACACACTTTTAGAAGCCCTTTTATCTATTTCTCTGTTACTAGCCATTTCTAGAATCATTCTTATGTATGTAGACCTAACAGTAAAGTTAGACTTAATAGGGAAGCAAAGTTAAAATGGTTATGCCTATTTGTAAAACCTTAGAGCCATTCAGTTGTTCTGTTTGTTACTGTCTTGTGCAGGTACAAAGGCCAAGCTCCTGATTTAATAGGCAAACAGGACAGTGTCTATGAAGGTAAGTTTTTAAGTGGCAGTGTTTTATTTTTTTGTAAAGGTACTTCCATGCAAATACACCTGTCATGAAATTGTGCACGAAGGTATACTTTGAAATCTTCTTCCAATTAGATGTAGTATTTTAGTTTTTGGAGGTTTTTTTCAGTTCAAGTGGAAAAAAACCCATCAGTGGCTCTTTTTCCCATCTTTCATCTAAGCAGCTGAAATGGCAAATACCTAACTTGGAGTGGTCAGGTATTGCAGGTAGATGTTGTATCCAGAACTGCACATGCCAAGTCTTGTGTTGAAATCCTTTACTTCGGCTGCCTTTGTGGGAGAAGTGACTGTCCCAGGGCTCTGCCCTTGGGCTTGTTCTCAGTGTTTCTGCTCTGGAACTCGCCGAGTGTGTCCTGAGGGTGGCTTGCACTTGACACAGCTTGTTTCTAGTGACTGTAGGGTATCTTTCCCAGATGGTTCTCTGATTCTGGCCTTTCCTGTCGCTTGTGTGATCGCAGTTGTATGGTTTGCCACATTTCTCTGTTTGAGACAAAGTGAGAGCTCCAGAACTCACAGCAAGTCCATCTGCCAGCAGGTGTTCAGGGTCTGTGGAGTGAGATGGGGCAGGAGGGGTCAGACTTCTGTGTGAATGGTTGGGAAGTGAACAGGATGCCTGACACTGTAACTGCAATTACAGTGCTTTGTCTTTGTTTTTCTGAAGGGAAAAGCAGAAGCCTGGCTGTACAGTTAGAGCCCATGAACTCGTGTGTATTTTGGACAAATATGAAGACCAGGGATTTCTTTAGTCTGTCCTTACTGTTCAGTCCTTTGGAACATGCACTTGTTGCCATGACTTAAGGCACAACTGTGTGTCTGCAGTTTTAGTTGTATTCCAGAGTTTGGAGCTGTCTTGTGCTACATGTGGTGACCTCTAATTTCAGTGTTCTTAGGGAACAGTTAATTTGATACATCAGAGAATCTTTCATGGAACTTCTGTGCAGTATAAACAAGGACTAAGTTGAATAGAGAAGGGCAAGGGCAGGTTCTTTTGTTTTTGTATCTGTGTCAGCATCAGAAGAGGAGTGTTCATGACTACTGTGTTGTAGATTGCAATGCACATTTTATACTTTGTACTGTTTTTTTAATTAGTGGAAATTGTTTAATATTTTAGCTTTTTTTCTTTACCAAGTCTAATTCCAATTCTCCAATTCTAGAAGACTGGGATATGTTGGATGTAGATGAAGATGAAAAGCTGACAGGAGAAGAGGAATTTGAATTACTGGCTGGACCTCTTGGGTTAAATGATCGACGCATTGTACCCGAACCCGTGCAGTTCCCCGACAGTGACCCCCTGGGTGCTTCAGTTGCAATGGTGACAGCCACCAACAGCATGGAGGAAACACTGATGCAAATAGGTGAGTTTGAAATGCAGTTTGTTCGAAGAATATGAAGAGTGGTAACACCACCACTACCTCCCCTTTGGTGTGGCTTTTATAGGGGCAATGCAGAAACAGTTTCTGCCACCATGAGGAAGTTCTGAATTGTCCTTTTATTGCAGGAGAGTTAGAGAGAGGAGCGTGAGGCGTTATAGATTGACAGAAGGCTTGAGGTTTCTATTTGCTAATAAAACTGTGACCATAGTCCAGCAGTGGATGCCAGTAACGTGCTTTGCAGAGCTCAGAGTGTGGATTTAAGTTGGGACTTAGAGTTTCTCTGATGGAAAAGGGAAATGAAGGAATTAAGTTTAACTTGAATTGTCAAGTTGTGCTCTTCTATCTTTGGAAACAAGGAATAAGTAAATTATTGGCTGTATTTCCTCTTGGTCATTATTGCTGTAGTTCTGTATATATGAAATGCTGAAAAATTAATGGCTAGTGTATAAACTTAGGCTAAGTTTGCTTCGGTGCTCATTACTGCACGATAGCATTTTGTTTTTCTTTAAACACTAATGCAAATCATTATTTCCAAGGCTGTCACGGCTCAATAGAAAAGAGTTCTTCTGGCAGGATAACACTAGGAGAACAAGCAGCTGCCCTAGTAAATCCGCACGACCGTGTCATGGCTCTGAGAAGAGTGACAGCTGCTGCTCAAGTCCTCCTGGCAAGAACTATGGTGATGAGAGCACTCTCACTCCTGTCTGTCAGGTTTGTGCATCCTTGGCAACACTTCCACCTTTCCTGTCCGAACCGGTCCCAGGTTTTGTTCGATAAGGACGTAATTTCAAGCTATTTGGAGAGGCAGTTCTCATTTTGTGTACTTCCGTAGCGCTTTCAAGGGAAAAGGTGGTGTTGATTTTGTTCTTTTGTCCCCTGTGTTCGTTTTTGCAGTGGCTCCAGCTGCAGCCTGGCGGCAGGTCTGGAGTCCCTGGGGCTGACCGACATCCGGACGCTGGTGCGGCTGATGTGCCTGGCGGCGGCGGGGCGCGCGGGACTGTC